GATGATGATGATGATGATGATGATGATGATGATGATGATGATGATGATGATGGTCCGGTTAGTAAAGGCCCTAGCCTTGTTCAAATAAAGTGATTTGCTTGTGAAACCTGACTCTTACAGGTAACGAGGATTCTCAGGACATCGAATCATATATTGGATGCCACATCAGGACTAACCCATCCCCAACGACTGTGGGACATGCCAAACCCCCCCATGTACAGAAAATGAACTTATTCAGGACTCCGTACCGATCTGTTTCTTTTTTCATGTCCGCCCGAAAAGTACGCACGCGGAACCTTTGCGGGCCAAACCCCCAGGGCCTTGGTCAAGGCATGCAAGCTCTCGACCATGCGCAGTTCGATGTCCCCCAACCTGCGCAGAGCTCGCTGCGACGACGTGTCGCTCGCACTGCATCTGTCCCGTCTGTCCAACGGTCTGAAGAGACGAATTCCCATCCAAACAGAGGCCATGGAAATGGCCATTTCTCTTAGCAACCTGCAAGAGCTTCAAGTACAATAAGCGACATGAGATAAATGTGCCTTCATCTACCCACTGGTGATATGTGGTCCTTTTTCTTGCTTCTCCATCTTCTTGCTCTTCTAGTCAAAAAAACATGCGCCTTGATCTTCAAGAAAACCATGGGAACTCCGTGCCGCTTGCTGCGCTTGCTCCGTGTGGTCCAGGTGCCTTATTCACCCTGTTCGAACCGGGGGTCCGAGCCACTTCTCCACGGGGGAGCCGAAGGTGGGCACGGGGTTTGTGAAGGGTACCTGGCGTCGCCGAATCGACGTTTTGGGGAACTCCTGGCCGCCAACGTTTCGTCGGAGCTCCTGGCCTTACGGAGAAAGGACGCTACGAACGGAACAAAGGGCAGAAGCGACTATATAATAGGAGCAAGGACACTTTTACACTTTTCTTGACACTTCATGCAGCTGTGGGACGTGCCAGTAGCCTAAACATTTGGGCCGAAAACGCACCGTCAAGTTGTGCGAGTGAATTATATAGACCAATGATAGATGTGCTTGAACCTTAAAGCGAAGGCTTCGAAGGCTGTGCTTGAGGTCGTCGCCCAGGTGTCGCAGGTGGTCCACGAAGGAGGGCGCTTCATGCGCCCCCAAGCATGTGTGGAGGTCTGGGCTACCAAGACGAGCTCGAGATCTCAACTTCTCCAGGTCTAAGACTGAGCACTTCTTCAGTCTGGGTGGGGTTGCCATCTGAAGATCACCAACCCCTCCAAATAGCTCGACGAAAGCGCTGCGCGCTTAACGAGCTTCTAAGCCTTCTAAGCTTCGTGCCTGAATGAAAAACGGAAGCATCCCAAAGCAATGATGTTTTTAGGGCCATGTGAGTCACGCCTCAAGGTTGTTATTTGGATGTATATATTTGGTACGAAGTGGACCTGTGAAAAATGCCACAAGTCCCTGCTACGCCTGCTAGCACTGACGTACCCATTCACGTTCGCGTACCTCAACCTCGGAATCTGTACAAAGCTACACCGAGCTGCCTTCTCCTTAATCATGTCGTTCATGTCGATGATGTCCTTCTTCTTTTCCTCTCACATTTCGTTCATGTCAGCAGAGTCCCGATTGGTTCGTCAGAGGCCAAAGAAATGGTGAAACGCCGAACACATAAACTGACTGTCTGGCAACTACTTTCTATGATGCATTCGTGAACAATCCAAAGAAGCACACGGGGTGCTAGCTGCTAGCATTTCTGGCGAAGATGTGTGTGTGTTAGCTTGTCTTAAGCAAATCTGCATGCTAGATTGGTTGCAAAAATGTCAACTGGATGCGTTCCGTCCATTCTTTGAGCGTTCCCATGTGTTCCCTTTCCAAACAGACCTGGCAGCTCACATCAGTCACAGATCGAAGAAATCACCGATGCACCAAACCTCCTCAAACATCGGCTGTTGAACCCTGAACGGCTCTAGCTGGAGTTCCAGCCTTGGCTTTTGAGGTCGTAGATTCATGATTCTTACAGGTCCGGTCCAGAGGTCCTTCTTTCACACGTGAAAAGACTGGCCCTTCAGATCGGCCCACCGGATCGGCGCACCGTTTCGGCCACCGAACTGCGACGTTCCCCGGGTCTCCTCGGTGAAGGTCACACGTGAGATGGCATCGAAGCACTTGCACAGATGCTCCTGCACCGCCTCGGGGTTCCTGGCGAAGCCCACGAGTTCGCCCGAAAACGAAGGTGACACTCCCTGGAACTAACACGGAAGTGGATGGCCTGGACCCTTGGAAGACCATTTTCCCTACAATAGGTTTTGCGCTTCCATGTTAGTTCCCAGTGAGTAGGGAGTGTAATCGTTGTCTGTCGTGGGGGAACCCATCCCCAAAAAGTGCTTGGGCAGGTGATCCAACATGACTCTCCAACATCGGGTTGCTTGACTCTCACCTCAGATCTCAGACCGAAGATGCTGGTCCGGCAACCCACCCCCCGAGGCAACTGCCCTCTTTTTCTCACCGGCGCCGCGTTCCAGCAGGTTTCCGCTCCGCGTGTCTCCGCGTGTCTCTCGAGGCCTCGGTGGACATGTTGGATTCTTTTCCCTTGATACCCATGGTTGGCCACTCGAAACAATACATGATGGACCATGCTGGGATAGAGGGTGTAAACATGAACTGATACCCTAGCGTCTTCTTCCCTGGTCAGTTGAGACTCCTTTCAGCATGTGTGTTGGTTGGAAGGTGTTAGATATAAAAGATGATAAAAGGAAAATCTGTCTTCAATCGTTCTTCAATCTTTCTTCCACCTCTTCCCAGGTTTGCCAATGATGTCCTGGACAGGGAAAAACAAAGGGGTCAGTGTCAGGTACAATATACCTATTGGATCCTATTGGTTGTAACTTGAGGGTATCCTCTCCATTGCTCAACCAACCGATAATTAACGGATATCTACCAACTGATACGTCAACCGTCAAAGAAAGCTTTGAACTTTGCATCAAGAAAAAAGTCGGGGACCAGTTGACTCTCTGCCTCTCTGCACCAACTTGAGAGCGCTGGGCCTCTTCCTGCAAAAAATCTGGAAGTCACTTGCCCCAGCTCCTCACTGTCATGGTGGAACTACCATTTGGACGGGCTGCAGGCTACAAGTGTGTTTTCTCATAAGATGAACTCCCCGACAGGTTCACAAAACACAAAGTAAGAACCCCCCAACCTATCTCCAGTCCTCACCATACGATGCAACACCAGTCCTCATGTGTGTGTGTGAGACTCCTACACTCCGCCCGACCCCGCCCGCCGTCCCCGGCAGTGGCAGATCTTTTGTCGTTCTTCGCAGCGAGCGACTTTGGCTCGTGGCATCCAGGAGGGGTCGACCAGGGGAAAAACGGCTGGAAGGCATTGGAAAGCCAAGTTGGTTCACTCCGGAAGGGCCCATCGACCGTCTCCCTTGGAATGCGAAGTTCCGGTTCACCATTGTCAGTTGAGAAAGCACCTTCCCAGGCAGTTGAAGCCTTGGTCCTTCATTACATACACACGCATACGTGACCAAGGGCTATGACTCAAAACTCTGCAATCCCCAAACAAAAAGGAACGGTTGTTGAAGAAAACACCTGTGGTGAAGAATGAGCAATCTTGAGTGTCCAAGATCTTGAATTTCAGAGAGGTGCCAAAATCTCCCAAAAGAGAGGACACACCAAGGTAACTTTTTTTTGGTTTCTTCCTCCGGAGATGGTTCTAATGTTCAGTTACGGGGTGTACTCGTTCTATGTAGCAAGCTACATAGCAGAGATCACTTCTCCGGTGCCCCAACACTGGAGTCGTCTGTTTTTTTGAACAAGAAGCTACTAGTAACAAGGGCATCGCTACTAGGAACAAGGACGCTACTAGTAGCTCCTGGCATTACTACTAGGAACAAGGAGCTACCAGAAGTCTTTAGACACAATGATTTGTCTAGCAGTCTAGCAGTGCTGATTTTCCGGTCGTGCCGTTTTCCTGGTCCTCATGTCTTATGGTCTTCGAAGTGAAGGATTCTCCGAATGTTTGGGCATGGTTCGAACCTCAAGTATTGGTAGTTACCCACACTCCAAATCCTCCTGGGACAAACAAAGGCTTTGAAGCCTGTGGGTCGGGCAGTCAACACAAGGCTTTCCTAGCCACGTTCTCCCCTTTCATCTTGGCCAGCGGTGACTTGAGTTTGCCGGCCATCGCGAAGAAATCCTAAGATCCATAGAACTGCTGATCTCGTTCCTTCTCTTGTTCGAAGCCTGGCTCATTTTCCTCCCACTTGAGCGCCTTCCAGGCACGCTTGGCCAAGCGGTCCTGAGTGCACGGGTTTGCACGTGCGCTTGCGCATGGGTTTGGGCGCTGGCGAAGAGCACAAGGAAAACCTCCGTTTGGCTGGTACGAGTACCGAGCGGCACTGAAATGCTTGGGAAACACCATAGTAGGAATCAGGTTCTAATAGGTCTTCCTAGGTCATAGGTCCTACATTTTGTGGGACCACGGTCACATCAAAGGCCATGCAGCGTTGATGACCACAATCAAATGGCAAACACTTGATATGACCATCGGAGCGCGCATCTTTGTCAGCTCCTCCAGGCCTAAACAGACCGACACTGTCGAGAAAACTGGGTACACCCAGTTGAAGTTATATTATGTTCATTCGGACTGGGACCTGCGCCGAGAACTCTCTCCGTGTCATCTCTTGGCCCTCCGAACTGCACCCGTGGGGGGTTAAAATCGATTTCGACCAGAGCGGAAGCTTTCAGCCCTGGGTGTCACGGGCGTGATGAAACTCCCTCAGTGTCCACCTTCGCTTTGGTTCCTGCTTGGAGGGTCTTCACGTTCGGTGAGGGGGGGGGGTACTGTAGCTCTTGGGGCTCTGAACGACCGCCAAAAACCCCTGACTTTGTTTCTTGCTTGAAGGCACGCGGTCCCCGTTCAGCTCGGTCTCTCACTTTCCGCTAAGGCTCCAAATGCTCTCGGGCCTTGTCAGGGATGTAGAGCCGTGCCTGCGAGGCTTCAAATGTCCGAAAGAAAATGCACGAAAAACGGTCCGTGCGACTTGGAATCAAAGGCATTCTAGAGGCATCGTGTGAGTGATTTCAAATCATGCTGTTTTGCTTCTCAAGTGAGTTCAAAGTCTCTGGGATTACTAAGTGACTGCGTTGATGCGAGATCCTGGTCGATCCGAGGTTGGTGGTGGATGAGAAGCCTTCTCTCACCACAGAAAACCAAGTACCTGGACTCTCCAAAGTACCTTCGAAAATGGGACATGTGACATGACCAGACATGACCCCATCCAAACAGGTATTTGTACCCATTTTCCGAGGTATTTTGAGGATCAAGGTACATGGAACACCAAAGGATGAATCTCCTTGGACCCTCTTCACCTGATGTATTTAAACAACAAAAACCTATACATTTTGTATGACCACTTTTAGCCTTATCGTTTTTTTAACTCTTTGTCGTTGTTCAATGTTTGGAACTCAGTATACAGTCTCTTGTCGTTTCCCAGCTAACCACACATGTCCCTGCCTCCACTGCAAAAAAGTCGGTGTCTGTTATGTGTGTGTGCGCGCGTGCAAATTTTAATGTGTTCAATGAAAACTTGACTTTTCAAAATGTCCTTCAAACAGACTTCAAACATCAAGGAAAGCCAGGAACTGAAGGAATATGACCAGGAAAATAACTAAGAAGTAAAAATTAACCAGCTACTTTTTTTTGCACTTTTCTCCTCTCCCCCTGTCTCTGTGTCCATTCCCTTTACAAGGGGAGACCGGTGAGCGAGGAAGCCATGCGCAGGAAGGACCGTCTCCCGACCGCCCCGAAGAAACGGTTTCGAGAGATCGGCTTGGTCTCCGGCTTGGTCTTCACCTCCAAAGGCTGGGCTTCATGTACTAAGTGGCCTTCTCTACTGCTCAAGTCCATCTTGATTGACAGCTCCTCAAGCTTAGCTTAGCGTAGTCATCCACCCATGGACAATTCCAAGTTGCAGGGGGCAACCTAAGCCGATAGACCCTTAGAAAAAGATAGAACCTTACAGAATCATGGTCTTTCCTTGACCCAAACCCCACCTTCGCTCACTGCATCATCTTGACAGCCGGCTCGCGGTCGCCCGACCGTTGTAACCCCGACCATTCCGCCGGCAGGTCGACCGCGCCTCTGGGCGGGCGATGCGCTTCGGAAAGCGCCAGAGGTCGCCCCACCTGGACGACGACGAGACGTGAGCGGATGAAGCGTCCCGGCCGGACGCGGGGGCGTCCCGGAGGGAAGGCGATGGAGGGACCCCATCAGAGGATGGGGCGTCCCATCTGAGCTTGAACGATTTTGTCGAAGGACTGCTGTGAAATGTTGGAACCCGCCTATATCTCTTTGGATATCTTTGGTGCACTAGGAAGCACCAAGCGACTGGAGTGTCCAGGTTGGAGCCTTTGCTCAAAAGATGTTATAAAGCATGTTTTCTGGCTGTTACAGAGTGGGCGCAAGGTCATAGAAATCCTGGAGTGCTAGCAATGGTACATTCCCTACAGGCTGCATGCATGAATGCACCCTTCTGGACATGCGAGCAAGGTCCGCCAAATGCAGTACACACAGTGTCCCAAAGAACCGGCCACCTTTAAAGACTACCAGGATTTGGAACCCAAAGGGGACTTTGAGCAAAGTAAAGTGAACCTTACTAGAGTGGACTTTGAGTAAAGTAATCAACAGTTAGGCTGTGTGACATGGACTCCTCGACACGAGACCAGCTCCCACCGAGGCGCATGGCTCTCCGAGACCAACGGTATCCTGGGAGAGACGGGGCGAGACGGTTGGGAAGGAACAAAAGGATTGAATGAATGAAAACCGTATAGATCCATATAGTATAGAGTTCTTTTATAGTCTATCTGTAATTCAAAATTCATGTTTTACTTTATATAATTGTATATAAAAAAAGACGCAAATGGCTCGCCTCCCGGAAAGTAGACGGAAATGGCTCAGATCTCTTGATCTCTTGATCTCTTTCAGTGGGATGTGTAGACTAGGGAGATCCCCTGTTTGAAGAAGGATAATGGGCCACACAACCCATTGGTGGGGGGGGTCCCTACTTAAAAACATGCTGACAAATTTCTCGATGTATCTACTAGATTCTATGACATAGGAGCCTATAAAAGGGGGTCTATCCAGGACCATCAATGGAAGCCATAGTTTTATGATATTTTGTAGTCTATACATATTATCATATTGGACATAGCTGCAATCTCTTTTTGTCCACCAAAGACATAGACTCTAAGTCGGAGTCACGTGGTGGGAGTCCATCTGACGTTCCTTCCTCCCAAGTCTCCAAAGGTGTGGGGTTTGCTCTTGGACACCGACAGCCGCTCGAAGTTCTGCGGTGCTGCACACACATCCACCAGGCAATGACCGCCTGTGAAGTGCTGGGGCAGACCCGAAGTCAGCTTGTTCAAGGCAATTGCCGCAAAACCCCTTGCCTTTGTTTAGGTGTCGGGGCATACGGGGCATGTCTTGAACGTCGCTTGCTTTTGATCCAAGACCCACGATCTTAACTGCACTATGAGGGAGTCAAAGTACTGAAGGCTTGGCACCTGCAGCCGGTGGCTGGATGTTCTGGGGTGCTAGCTTGCCCAGCTGCTTCCTAAACCCCCTTTCCTCAACCTCAGGTGACGGTGAAGAAAGAAGCAGCGGGTGAGTGGTGTGGTGCGTTTTCCCCCTTTTTCCGTCGAACCAGTCACGTGCCATCGATGGGGCGTGCCTGCTTTGATCACCGGAAAGAGGATCCGTGGCCAAAAATACGACTTCTCGTGGGCCGTTGGCGCGTGCTCCTCGCATGCATACCTGAGAGTGAGTGGCAGGACTCTCGGAAGCTCGGATAGACAGACGAACACCTGCAACCCATAAAATAGGAATCAACATGAATCAAAGGAACGTCCCTGTGCTTGTTTAAAAAGAAGAAAACTGGTGACAAAAAAAACACGTTGCCAAGTTTTGGCGACATCCAAGCTACATGGATCTTGGACCTGGCGCACGGCGAATGCAGAGGAAACTGAATTTTTCCTCTTCCAAGAACCTTTTCGTGGAGCCCTTGCAGTACACGCGATGCGGAGTGCGGCGGACACGTTGGGAGAAGTGGCACCAATCTCGGCCCGTGAGGGCTAAAGGGCACATGCCCTCATGGGAGCAAGGCGCAACGAAATGAAAGTTGTCCGCACCCACGCGGGAAATCAGAAGCTCCTCGGATGTCCAAGAGTTCCGGAAAATGGAAAAACAATGTCTAAGTAAGGCACCCACAAGGTCTTGGTATTCCTTTCTGACCATGGTGCCTAGTTGCTCCTCCCGAAATTTAAATAAAGATTGCCAAAAGATCCCCGTGTGAATTCAGGGGCCCCCCAGGCTAACCATTCTGTAGCAGCTGAAATGGCACCGGGATGCCCAAAGTCAATGTCCAAATTTCAGCTGGGTATAGCTGGGTATAGCTTCCCCAACGTCCCGGCATCTCGGACCGGGACCGACGCGGGCGTCCCGCAAGATCCAGATGAACTCGACCACCGGTCGAAGAAATCATCATCTCGCTGCGCCAGAGTTTCCACCAATCAGGCGGCCAAGGGTCTCTGGTATGATGCATGAAGCGAAAACCTGTAGGGGTTCCTTGCTCAATCAAGACCAACACGCCGCCCGGCCGAAGGCGACTCCACAGCCGCTTCACCAGGGCATCCCTTGACTCCTGGGACGTCGTGGCGCGTACTGTTGGTTGAACGTCATCGAGGGTGGCGTTGGGCGGGTTCCCCGGCGGAAACCGTTCTGGCTTGAAAGGATGGGCCTACGAGATCACCAAACGCAGCAAAACCGTGGGACTTCCCAGAAGCTGACGATTCGCTCGGCTGTTTGTGGATGGTGGTACAATCTCTTTTCTGTACTGGAATCTGTTCAAAAGACTCCCAGCAAAAGTCTTTGGGTGATTTAGGATAACTTCGCAAAACTGCCCTAAGGCCCTCCTCAGCGCCGGGCATGTTCCATGACATCATCTTGCTCTAAGGGAGCTTGTGTTTCGATGCACCAGCGAACCCTGGCAGCACCTGTTTGCTTTAATCACTTCAGCGTCACACTGTGAAGGCAACATGAGATCCACCCAAGCCCAAGAAATGGTGGTCATAGATGGTCTGCTGCTTTGAGCACTATGAATCACTATGGGGGATCTGTGCTTACCTGGATTGGGATATTGGGTCAACATGCACATGACCCCGACCCCCTCTCCTGACCCTTAATCTCCATCTGCACATAGCTCATCACAACGAGATCCATGGGCTCTTCCACGGAGTCGTAGAGACACCGTTGCCAGTGGATGGGCGGCATCTCCAAATCTGTGGTCAAGTACTTCCCCAGTTGGGTCATGTGCTCCTAGGAAAGGGTCGAAACCCTCATGAAAATCTGAATCTGTGGGGGTTTCAGACGCTCTTCGACCCTTTTTCCCCATGAACACCGAAACCGCCAGGTTGAAAAAGCATAGAACCTGCAGGTTACCTTCTTCTGACCTTTGGGCCAGCGGAAGGGGTCGGGGTCGAGCTGACCGGCGAGGACGCAGCAACTACCGTAGTCAGGCATCCAAAAAAGACGCAGGTGATCCAATAACTGGATGCACTGGGGAGGAAGAACCCAACGTGCGATTCCAACCCTGTTTTCGCAGACAAGGTGTGCATCAACCAAACATGAAGCAAAGCCGAAGCCAACGTGAAGACACGTGCCATCTGTGCAAGCTGGCCTTAAAAACAACTAGAGGTGTTTTGGTAGAGGGAGGGTGCTCTTTTGATTTCTTTTGTGTCCCTTATATTGTCCTAGCAAAGGCTGATTGGATCCTCAGGCTCATAGAATGTTGCCTCTAACAATTAGGGCCTTAGGGTTTTGGACCGAACCAACATGAAGGGTTCATGTGGCAGTTGGTTCGGGTCCATGTGGCAGCGTCTTGTTCCAAGCAATTTGTTCAGTGCAAGGAAAAGGCTCTGAGGGCTCGATCGCCGTGCAGTACTCCATGCAGTTGGGCCAAATCTCTTGCACCGCCGCCAGTGCCGGCGCCGGCCCGGCGCCGTAGTCCAGGACGCGCTTCGGGCGGAAGTCGGGCGCGCGGCGCGCCAGCTCGTACAGGACGCGGAAGTTCGCGGCCTCAATCAAGCTTGGCTCGCCCCGTCTGGGAGAGGTTTTTGGGCGCCCCGATCCTAGAAACTAAGTGCTCTTTGCAAATCCCAAAGAGGATGTTGCGACGTGGGTGAATGCTGGTCAAAGAGCATAGATCATCACTATCATCACTTGGAAAGCTTGAGCTGTTCGAGGTTTGGGAAAAGAACATTACCACTCCGCGGCGATTTAGTCACAAGCAACTCCCAGAGAGCGTGCAACTTGGTAGTCCAAAGAGATTTCCTGGACCCAAAAGATGTCCAAGCTGTATTGGGAATTTAATATCCCTCAAGTTGAGGGGTGACGATTTAGGAAAGGACATCCCACTAACCAAAGGTTCTGGTACTGCTAAGCCATTCCACTTCCCCTCTTGCTGGAAAATGCTGGAAATGTGAGTTCCGAAGAAAAGAAACAAAACAACCATTCCGAAAAATCTCTGCAAGTGCTTTTTTCAACACATATATCAACCACATAGTTTGAAACAAAAAACTGAATACCTTAAAATCTAATCATCCCAAAAAAATACCAAGCGTCCCAGGTGGCTGGATAGCGATGCGCCACATAGGTCAAGGCGGCCTCGGGCGACCAGAACATCTGGTACAACACGTGGCGCCGGTCCTCGACGGCAACGAACCGTGGTCGGACGCGGCACGCGTGCGTCTGCCGGGTGGAACAAGGGCAGCGCTTCGGAACTGCTCGGGAGACGCGAGGCTGACCTGTAGGAACAGGTGTGATCCACTGCACTCCAAGGCATCCATGGCAGAAGCAGCGAAAAAGAACCCAGCTCGGCTGTTGGCCAACATTCTCTTGGCTCCATACCTGGTCGCCTTTCCCAACTGACTTCCATGGACCTCGTCCCGTCCACTGGGTCCGGTCCTCCTTGTGAGCGATGGCCAGGCGCTTCAGCATGGAGTCGTCCATGGAGGCCACGCCTGCATGGTCAAAGAGGTCCTGCACATCTTCGGGTCTCCCAGGGGCTGCCGGGGAGCTGTCTGGAGACCGCATGTCGCCGGCGCCGTGTCAGCGGAGGCCCCGTGGCCGAGACGAAGCGAAAAAGAGGAGACAGCTTTAGTTGAAAGAGAGAGATCCACCAAGGGACCGAAACTGAGAACATGAGACAGCTTGCCTTATGAACATGGAACACCTGTGGATCGGAACACTTCAGATGTCCATATATGAAAGTGTCGGCTGGGAGCGCCTAGTCCGGGCGTCTGTACCGCTGGAGGCAATCGTATTGGAAACCGCAAACCTATTCATTTGGGTACGTCCACCACAAGCTATCCGCGGTGGTTACCCTTAGGCCACCAAGGCCAGAAAAACGATGCCTTAGGCTGTGCGTCCCTGAGCAAATCACCAAACTGGAGGTCCGGTCATGCGACAGGTCCAGTCTCCAAAAGACATGTCCTTGTAAGCAGGATTCTTCTTCATCTTGTCTACGAGGCCATCGGGCCCATCGCTCTCCTTGAGAAAGATCCGATTGCAGGAGGAGGAAGAAAAACACTGATCTGATTGGGTCGAAAAGCACCAGAGGTGAAATCTATTCTATTTAAAGTGTAAAGGTCCAATGTATGAATCTTGAGGTCAATCCTACCTCTTCCCTGGTTGCTACCTCTTCCTTGGTTGGTGTGCCTTCTGAAATTGTTTATATTGGACTTTCACTATCTGTATACTATTGGTAGCTCAAATTGGAATATGTTGGACACCCTCTGTTGTCTGTTGCACGAGTACAATAGGAATCGATCTACAGGATGTTTGTTGCTCACCACCTCAATGGCCCTTGTGACAACCACTCACGCCCGTCAAACCAGTCTTCACGGTTTTCTGACGAAACCAGTCTTCATCTGCCGGCTCCTTCGAGGTTAATTATAGGTCTCAACTGGACTGAACATCTATGACACAAGTCCAAACCATTTCCGTGGCAAATCTGAGAAGGCCATGGCCACTAAGTTCTTGTCTGCACATCTACGTCAGCCAAGTAGAAAGGTCCACTTGATGATTCCATGGAAAAACGCATGAGTGGAAAATCTGCCCTTCACAGCTAAAAAACACCTCCCTCCCTCAGTCACTCCACCATGCCATCACCGGGTCTCCGGCAAAAACGCACTGGGCAACAAGCTGGGGATCTCTGCGGACGTGCGCGAGCGCTGCCGCTTCAGAAGGTACCGCCTGGGTCGACGGTCGACCGCAGACCGTCCAGGTCGGAAAGGTGAAGAACTCTTGGGGGCAGGATGCCATGGATTGGCCATCCAATGCCATGGGCCAAGGAAGCTTGCGAAGATGTTCAAAGCTACTCAAGCTACAGCATCGCGTCGATTTTTGGCCCGAAAACCTGTGTTGCGAAAGCAAACGGACCACGGACCACATCCTTTCTCTGGGTTGGTGACCGAGGTGCCCATATCTCTCCAGGTCCTTCTTCTGCCCAAAGTCCCGCAAAAGCCGGACGATCTTCTCCATCACGGGCCGCGGCGCGTCCTGCACGGGCTGCGGGTGCGGTCTTCGTTGGCTAAACCGTGAGTCCAGAGTCCAAGGAGTGAGTCCAGGGAGTGAGGAGTCCAGTGAAGGAGCAAAAGATCAGAGACTTTCAGTGCCAATTGGCTCCTGTGGGGAATACTCGGAATACTGCTGTTCTGGAGGCCAACTGGGTGCTTGCAGCTCCATGGTGCGCATGAGTTCGCTGTCTATAAACCTCTTGCTCACGGTGAGCGGTCATGAAAGACGTACAGTCGTACAGACGGTTGCACAAAATGTGTCTCGCTTCTCCTTGAAGTGAAGCAGTCGTAGTCTCCAGTGCATCTATTCAGTACATGCTGAGAGTATCCATTCGTTTATAAAGACAAGCACCCCTTTCGCCCGACACTGGCTCTTCTCGCCTGGGTCTTCATACTGGTCAAGGCCAGTTGATCCAGCTCCAGCAGCGCTTCAGGATCTAAGTCATCACTGGGAAACCTGGGTTGATCCGGCTCCAGAAAATCCGATGCTGCGCAGCAGAATCCGCACGCCGGGAAACGCCCCATGCACCCGGGTCAGTAACAGTGGTACCCCATCTCCATTAAACCAATCAGGACTGAAGAGTTCCCAGAGTTCGGGTGGTTTAGAGACACCCCGAAATCCGATGTATTTTCCCTCCAATCACCACCCGAACTCGATGGTGCTGGTGGTGGGGCAGGCTAGTTTTGGCTCAGCTTTGGTCAAGAGGCATCCGATCAAACTTAAATCCGCGGTGAATCGTCTTAGAGAGCTTCCCGAAGACTAGCTCTGCATCGCTCACGCCGCTCGCCGCCCGAGTTCGCGCCAAGTGCTGGCACGAGGTGAGCGCCAGGACTGCGTGGCGCGCGGAGCGCACAGGGCCATGGCGCAGCATGGGACAATGCTGGTTGACACCACTTCCAAAGGAGTTCTATGCATGTTCAGAAGGTCAGCCATTGGAAGGGACCTCAATGTGTCTCCCAACTTCCGGACTGTCCTGCCAGTGTTTGTCCTGCCCTCGGCGACTCCATCAGTTTCGCTGGTTTAAAAGTTAAGCTTTTTCCACCTGCTCTTGCTTAGTGGGGAAACCAATCCCAAGGACAAAAACAAGAAAAGCTTTAAGGGTATCCACTGATTGGGTAGGATTGACACCCTGTTAACAGCGCACCCCTCGGCGCTAGACCAGTTTTTCTGTGTCATATCTGTCCTCAAGCAAACCAGGCTTTTGGCACATAACAACCCGCTTTCGCGGATGAACAGCGCCTTTCACAGTGCAAAGGTGGGTTTGGATGTACAGTGGTGACTGGGGGATGACTTCAAGCGGATCGCTCAAGATCAAGTCCTCCCACAGTGGATTGGTTTATACTGACAAGCTGTGATGAAGCTGGCGGCAGTGGCGCGGCCGGTGGGGCTGGACGCTGGCGGAGCTACAGCGGTCAATTACTAGAGGCTGAGATCAGAGTTATGACAGTTCCCTACACTGCACATACAAGTACATCCTCAGAAGGTATTCAGAACCCTGAAACACATACCCTCACACCCATCGCCAATGGAAACCCCCGGTTTGGGGCCAAGGTCCACTTCCATGTTGCGTGAAAAAAAGATCCCCTCAACAACCCTTTCCACACCTGGAACACAAGGGGGTCCCTAATTAGGCTTCCAAGCACCAGATTTGATAGCAGGGTCACCCCGAACGACCATGGTTTCACTAAGCACTTTGCACTACAAAGCCGGCTCAACCTCCTTTAGAATGGTCAAACGAAAGGCCTCCGGGAGGTGGCCTCAGGCTGAGGGGTGCTGGGTGCTTGGTCGGGCCTGAGGTCGAGAGAGATGGGCGTGATTTCAGGAGACAAAAAGGGGACGTGGGTCATTCTTACCTGCGGCTATGTAACTTTTTGACTGCCCATGTATACTCCAAAAGTGGTTCATCAGGAGTAAATAACATACAACCCAAAAAAAAAATCGGTCGGCATGTTGACCTCCCCAGAGGGAAAATTCGACCCCTCACGGGATGCTAGGGGTCTTTATCGTCTTTACCTAGACGCTCCATGTATGCCATATATGCCTACATTGACCCCTCAAACCACCCCAACTGATCGGCATATATGGCAGTCCCATGGAGCGTCTGGCTTATAACCCAAACTCTGTGTTGGTTGAGATCTTCTTTGTGGGACAACTTCAGTAACCCCACTTCTTGGGACCCCACCCTGCCCACTTCTCGGGTGCCCAGCAGTCGGTGTGGCCCAGCAGTCGCCATGGCGGCCGCGGCGAGCGCAAGCGCCAAGCCATGGGAGGCGGGTTCCGTGGCGAGTGAAGGCCAGGTGAACTGCGCTGCCAGTGACCTTCGAATTGTTCAGCTGAACTCCTCGCTGCATTGAAGTCTTTCTCATGTTTGAAAGAATTTGGAGCCATACAGCTTGTCTTTGATCCAAAGGTTGGCCCGCCCAGCCACCACACAAGTACAGGTGTGTCGATGGCCGCAGCTCCCGGGTTTTGGGGGGAGACCAAAGTGTGGTTGTTGCCCTGGTTTCCAGATCCAACCCAATCCGATATTGATCAGCAGATCCTAGGAAGCCCAACTCACAGCATTGCCACTCCAACCTTACCGATCAAGAACGGTCCCGCTTTACCCATCATCAAACATCAAGGAATCTCTTCCTGCTGTCAGCTAGTCCAACCTACTTCAGCTCTTCCCACTATATATATATATATTACCAGGACCTTCCAACAGGTGGTTTTGGGACACCCCGAATCAACTCTAAGAGGCTACGGCTATTTATAGACACCTCAAACGGATGGTCCTGGAGTGTCCCGGACGCATACTACTTAACTAGTTTCTTGGGCCCGTGTTCGGCACTGCCTTCGGCTGCCCTTGCCTGGTCTGCGACATGATGCTCAAAAGCTCATCGTCCGACAAGAAATAGAAGCGCCTTAAGATCTCCACAGAACGCCCACAAGTGCTGCTGGCAAGTCCGCTGGATTGGAAGTCAAGAGGTGACAGCAAAAACATACCCCGAACAAAGAGTGCTCCAATCTTGCTGTAATGATTTAATACATCCACTAATGACTATCGAATAAGGCCTTCATAACCACTTCACCCACGCTTTCTGATCGCCTTCACCCTCGCAAAAACACACACCAAGAACATGACGCAAACCATGTCGACTCGCGGAAGAAGCGAAGCGAACACCGGTCTTCCCTCCGGGGGTCCCAGCCAGGGCGAACGCGCGACCCACCGGTTTCGTCTTCAGTCACTCACCAAGAAGACTCACACCCGTCACCTATATAGGCCACCCCGGCGGGAAGGCGGCTCGCTTGGTCTCGAGGTATGCCTGGCGGGCGGCTCTCGCGCTTCCGGCTTCCGCGGCCACGGAGACGTGCCCCACCGGCGCGGTTCCGGCGGGAGGGAGAGAGAGAGAGAGAACTCATCGCGGCGGTTTCAGCTCGTTGAAGAACAGCACTGGGGGGTGAAGCAAGAAGTTCTCCGGCGGAGGAGGCTGCTTCCCACATGGATGGGCGTTTTTCGAACAAATATGAACAAATCACAGACTGGAAGGGAAGATTGGTTTTCCTAGCCCTCCATCTTACGCGGCAGCTCCTCTTCAGGGTGAGCAGAGGTGGTTTTGATTTTGAGGTTTCAGAGTGCAGGTGTTTGGATGCCTGAACCCTCTCTGAACCCTATCAGAACCCTTGAACCCACCTCCAGAGCCTTTGTGGAATCTTGCTCTTCCGCTTTCGGCTCACCCAGACCACCCCAAAACCCCCCCGCACCGCGACCGCGCACGGCGGACCCGACCACCCTCTCTCATCTTTCGGCCGCACTCCGCCGCAGACACGAAGCCGTTTTCATCGGTTGGCCTCGAGGCTCTTCTGGATCTGATCCAGCGTTTCGTTGGCGTTCTTCAAGCCTGCCGATGGACAACACGTGTCGCAGCAACGGAACCAGTCGGATGAGTCACGGCGGTCGACGTTGGTCGTTCCAGAAGCGGAGTCAGTTCCAAGTCACGGTCGGAGCGGTCGAATTCAGTCTTCACAGTCTTCCAGCCAGATGCGACCCTCCTGCTAGATATTTGAGCTTCAAAACCCCCAGTTGAGGGGCAAAACCCGAGCTACCCGAGCTGCCCTAGCTATGAGGGTCCACTGAGCCTCTGGGCAGCAGTGGTGTTTCAACTGCCGCTTCCAACAAGGTACGAAGCAAACCACAATGCCTCCCTTGACTCTCGCTGCTCTTGTTTTGGAGCCCCCTTGGGACAGGTGCTCGTTCAGGCTCCGGTTCAGCCAAGGCGACGCCGATTCTGTGTTCACATACCCACATGGACACTGAAACCACCCTGTCTGGGATAGGTTCAGATCTTTTCTACTTGATAGACTGCTCTGACTGTGCCTCTACCTTCCAACTTTTGAAGATCCTGACAAAAAATCTAGATGTAATTTTAGATTGCACTATGGCAGAAATCGAAAAATCTGTGTCATTTCAGACTTCTCTCTTGAAACTGAACTTGTTTCTCGACGTTTCCTTGGCCTTTTCAGCTCCTCCTAAGGCAGAATGCCCGGAGTCCTGTCGATTCTTCGCATGTTCGAACACGCGCAGACGGTCTTGGCGCGCGCCCGAAGACGGGCGGCTTCTTTGCCAGGTGCCACTTGGTCAGGCGCTGGCCACAAATCTGGGAATTCTTCTCAGAATTCTTCAGATGAAAACTCCAATCCCAGAGCACCAAAGACACCGACTCATTGCCGGATTCTCTTCGGATGTTCTACATAGGTCACTTGATGCATTCTTGTCGCGTGCATGTTTGTCACCGCAGCTGCATGTCTTTCGCCACTTCAGGGTTGGCCAAACAATGAAAGCCAAACGGAATTTGATCGTCCATTTGCATTGAGCCATGAGTGGCCTGGTATCCCCATGACCAAGCCAGCGCCCGAGTTCCATCGATCAAAGAAGTGCTTCACAGATCTTCAGATTCATATATAATTACAGGATTATTCAGGTCTGTCAGCGAAGGAAGTCTTCGGGCACCCAGCTATGCTTGGTTGATGAATTTAGAAGTTCTTTTGCGGCAAAACCTGTGTTCCTTTCCCAGGAAGAAAAAGAGCAGCCCCATTAAGCCCCAAGGGGTGGTGTTCGGACACTAAGAGCTGGTGTAGAGCACCCCCTGACCCAAACTTTGAAGAAACATGAAGCAACCACACAGGCGAGTCAAAGGTGCTATTCTTTCTCACAAGGCACATGTTGCGGCAGGGTCACTTGGGGCAGGTACAAACCATGCATTCCTAAGCTGTTGCATCAATCGAATGTGTGAGATGTCTTTATTTTGGCACACTGAAGCTTCATAGAGAGTGACGACACGTTCCTTGTCATGCTTATGACTGCTACTTGAACTACTTGGACATGACCGAAGAGCAATGCCGGCGCTTTTTCCTGTGAAGCCCTTCTCCGACCAGGATCGGCTTTTCTCTCGCAACTCCGCCGGACTCTTTGCCACAGCGGCTCCGACTCTCGTTCGGTGGTTTTTTGTTCCGGGGGTCAGACCTCCAGCGCTGCTGTCGTCCCAATGGCACAGCAAATGGATCGAAACTCTCGACCAGCACCTTCAGTTCGGGGTCCCCTGGTCTAGGTCCTGGTCGACCGGTCATTCTCACATATGCCATTGACCTCCCTGGTGTCGGTCGTTCCGCTGAACGCGACTTGGAACCGGACCGGTGGGTGGGTCACGACCCAGGTGTCCATCTGTAGGCGACGTGTCCATCGGGTGGGAGCTCCAAAACTCAGATCCAGAACCAGCAGGTGGCATGGTCGACCTTCAAAGTCTACCTGGACCTGAAGGAAGGGGTGCGAGATCCACAAAGCAAAGATCCACAACAGTAGTGTAGAGTAGTCGGAGTCGGAGACCCCCCTTTTCTTCAGGTGCTGATATATTTAGAA